CAATGAGTGTAAGTTGCCTTGTGTGCTTGTTATAATTATAGTAGGTAGTCCACTGTAACTACTAAATTCTGCAACCCTCTAACGTGATTTTTATTTAACGTTATATGATCAAAATTCCTTAGCCAAGTAATTTAAACTAGTATCTGTTCACAAAGCAGTCCCTTATCTAATGGATTTATGCACATCAATTTATCGTTAATATAACAACCATGATGGCTATTAGTTTGATCTATAACTATAAAGTGTAAATATATTTTTTAATCAGTTGTTTATTGCTAGTCTAACTTAGTTTGATCTATAACTATAAGGTGTAAAAATATGTTGTTTTTTTCTGTTATTTATTGCTAGTCTAACTTTATTTGTCTAAGTTAGGTTAAGCTAGTTAACGTTTACTTACATATAACTTAGCTAACTTGCATAAAAGGGAGAGAAAAAATTTACCATTCTGTTGCAGAGCGAGGGGGACGATGTTGACTTCCTTGGTCAATGTCTTCTGAATCGGATTCAGGCTCTGGAGGCTCAAACAAATATGGCTTGGTATAACCTAATAAGCTGCTAGGAGCATCCATTTCGGCTGTAGCGGGTCCCGTCGAGTGCAGCTTTCCCGCGAGTGGGCGTGGTTTCAGCGCAGCCAGCGGACACGCCCCCAGCGTTTGAGAGCAGAGAAAACTGCTCATTTTTTCAAGATTTTGATAGCTTATTTTATGTACTTGCCGGCTTTTTTTATCATTCAAATTTGGCTGGGTGGCTAATAACACATTTTTCTGTGGTGTGACAAACTCAGAACACATACTTAATTTTGACTTTACGGGGACTTTAAATGATACTCCACCCAAAAATGAAAATTCTGTCATCATTTACTCACCCTCAAACCTTTATGAGTTTCCCTCTTCTGCTGAAGATATTTTAAAGAACGATTGCAACTTTGGCACCATTGACTTCCATAGTATTTTTTTTTCTACTATGGAAGTCAATGATGACCCACAACTGTTTGGTTCCAATCGTTCTTCAAAGTATCTTCCTTTGTGTTCAGCAGAAGAAAGAAACTCATACAGGTTTGCAACAACTTGAGGGTGAGTAAATGTTTTTGGGTGGAGTATCCCTTTAAGTGGCCTTTAAACTTGCAAGCAGTTTAAAAAAAAAAAAAATACTTGAAGGACTCAGTGCACAATCAAAACCATTAAGAGCACTTCTTTTTCACAAAGCCGTGAAGTGCAATTTACTGCATGCACAATGGAAGTTCTTACTTCACTTTCTACTTTAATCTGCTGCAATCCCAAAAGTGAATCTCGCTTCTGTTTCCTGTACGATCCTGTCAGAGCCGTCATCTCTGTTCTCATGTCATCTGATATCATGCCGGTGTCATTTGGTGACACACTGCCTTCACTCACTGTCACTCCAGCAGAGACGAGGTGACTTGGGTGAAAGAAGCCATTTGCATCTGACTGTGCAAAGTATCTATTTTTAACTACAACACGAGATTCAGAATCAGATTCAGATGAACCAAATGTCTTGATGGTCCCCTTTAGACATTCTGTCGTCTATAAGTAACTTTGCAAGTACATGTCAACTTATTCTACTAACCCTATTCCTATAACCCCTAACAGTCTACTAATACTCAACTAATACTCTAATGAGAGTTAGTTGACATGTAGGTCCAACGTTACGCCAACAGAATATCTAAAGGGGACCGTCAAAATGAGGTGTACTGCAGCCTAAAATCTCTTGGCCATACCTGTGCCCAAAACACAATCTCTTAAAGGGACAGCCTACCCACGTATACAGCCTGAAAGATTTGGTCATTATTTACTCACCCTTATGTCGATTTTAGTTCTCTCATGGACCATAAATGGACAGAAAAGAACAAAATTTAAGTTATTTACTGATAATATTTCCTTTCAGTGAACTATTAACCACTGAGAGTCATTGAGTTGAATCGATTCAGTCTGATTTGCAAACTGGATAACTTGATTCACTGAAAAGACTAATCAGACATCATCATTTCTCTCAATTATTGTTATTAATGTAAAAGTGAGTTTATGCAGATTAATATATTTTTTTATTGAATAACAACAAAGTTATGATCTGTTCATTTTAGAAGACTTGGACTACTTTTCTGCAGCTTTTGTGTATGTTTTGTTATTTAGTTTAAGTTTTATTATTTTTTTCTACAAAATCAATAAGTTATGACAACATATATTTTTACGTTGCTTTAACTCATCAAAATAAGTTAAGCAATTTTCAACATTTTTATAAGTTATACAAGATTCAACTCATTTTTTTAAAGTCAGTTTAATGTAATTTAGGTTGAAATTACTTACAGTTAACTGTACTTAAACTTCTTTATATATATATATATATATATAATTGCATTGGTCATAAAGGGTCATGTGTTAAAGTGGTGTGCAACGTTCTGATCTAAAACAAATAAAACATAATAAATCCAATCTTTACAAACACCATGGTAACCAAACACCATGGCTTGAGAGAACGAGGAAATGTGATTTTAACATTGTAATAAATATTAATGATAAATAAGCGGAAATGCCAGTGGCTTTGGCAGCCTGATGCATTCGGCCTGGGAACGCTGGCATCATTACATTCATTTTGAATAATGCACTGCAACTGCAACCGTCCAATTAGCTTGATCTACACTCTACACACTATAAATCAAAGTATTAATGCTAATGTTAGCATAAGCAGCCATTGTTCAAACTGTTTCAACACTTTTTATACTGATTATTAGTGATGTCATTTGATTTATAATGTCTGGTGTGTGTATGACATTACACTTTATCTTACAAATATAGAGATTTTATCAAAATCTCTCTATAGGGAGTGATTAAACTTCTTTGAAGTCAATTTGTCATCTATTCTGAAGCAGTTTTACCATTTTTCTATCAAACCAGTAAGTCCACTCATAATAAGACACAATAACTCATGTGCACGTGTAAGGTTAATAATAAGGTGATGAGAAACAAACAATGTGCTCTGAGTCTGCAGCATCTCCTAGAACAACTTACAAGAGAATGATTGTGGAAATAAAGCATGCTACAAACTCAGAGCAAAGACAGACATCGAGTTAACAGACTGATCTAATATTGTGTTTAAAAACAATTTATGAACTGAATCACACAAAAAGTGATACTGCACCCAACTGCAGGTTACAAGTGAGCCCAGCCACAGTCCATGACAAAGAAACTGCATGACAAAGACCTAGAGGCAGGTGCCATATTGAATTTTTTTTATTCGGAAAGACATTTCATCAGCTGAACAATCGAATTGTTAAACAACAGTACGATCCATTGAATGCGCTGTATTCTATTCATCACGGCCCTGTTTTCATTCCTGTCAAAAATTGAATCTAGCACTTCCCTAAGGTCTATAATGACAACATATGCCAAAATAACACACTGCTCACCTGTGGAAAGGAAAGCAGAAAGTCTGTAGTCTCGGCAGACTTTTAAAATGACAGAGAACAAGCTGCCTTTTAGTTTGGTAGGATTTTGCTGGACATAAAAATTATACTTACAACAGGTTTTTTCAACAGGTTTTCAAATCAAGAAGGTGATATTTTATTTTGTTGCACAATATCAGAACATTTATTCATCTTTCAGTGACATTAAACACTATTCCACTATCCAATTGTTAACTTTATTAAAATTCAGTAAACTTATATCAATTCTTATATTAAAAATAAATAAATAAATACATCTTACATTATCAATGAGATGAATTATGCATCATTTATCTAAAACACTTAAGTACACTAACTTGAAACTTCAGTACACTAAACTTTACCCATCTTACTCTTATGAAAAAGTGGACTTAATTATTGATTATGCACTTAAGTGCATTCAATACACTACTTTAAATCTTAAAATATCTTAATATTAATGAAATAAAAGGCCACTTAAGTGTTCTTAAAGTGTACACTTTCATGACTGTTTCTTAAGTACACAATTAAAAAGTGCTCTTTGTAATAATTTTGAATTAATAGTTGTACTGTAAACTACATTTTAAGTTTACATTAAAGTGTATTTCAGTTAACATAAATGCTTGTCAGTACATTGATTCAACAGTATAGTTTAACTATATTTCAAAGTCAATAGAAGTAATTTTGAAATTACATATACATGTTCTTAATTCCTACAAAAGTTCAGCAATAATAATATTAATATTATACTAACTGTACTTTTTCACAAGGGTAAACTTTGTCACACAAACTCACAGGAGCACCAAATAATAATTTTAGGTAACACTTTATTTTACAGTGTCATTGTTACATATATAATATTATACATGTATAATATTACATGTATATGTACTTAAATGTATAATTCCAGTGTAACAAAGGTGAAACTTTATTTTAAGGTGTCCTTGTTACAGTGTAATTATACATTGAAGTACTGAGTAATATTAATTGACTATGCACTTATAGGGTTAGGATTAGGTTTAGGGTTAGTTGCAAAATTATGGATAATGTATAGTAATTACTATTGAGACTATATGTAGCATGTTCAACAAGGACACTGTAAAATAAAGTGTTACCAAATAAAGTGTAACCTAATTTTATTTAATTGCAGATGAATGAATGAATGAATGAATGAATGAATGAGTGAGTGAGTGAGTGAGTGAGTGAGTGAGTGAGTGAGTGAGTGAGTGAGTGAGTGAGTGAGTGAGTGAGTGAGTGAGTGAATGAATCAATGAATGAATGAATCAATCAATCAATGAATCAATGAATGAATGAATGAATGAACAGCATAACTGAAACCATATGGACAAAAATGCAGGATAAAACTGTTTAGAATCCTGTAAGTATCTATTATGAACTTACATTCAGAGTGCAAATTCAAGAGAACCAATAAGCACCACATAAAACTGAACATATGTTTCAGAAACTACAAATGATTCAGACTTTACAAAATATCTGTACTGTGGAATTCTTCAAAAAAATAAAAATAAAAAATAAAGCATAAAGAAAGCTTCTTTGTGCTTACCATCATAGCTTGCTTCTAAAAGTCCAAACTGCTCCAGAACCTTAACAAAGACAACAATCACAACCAGGACAGCAATCATCTCTAGTCCCTCCAAGTTCATCATGCTAACCGGGTCAGGTCATGTCCTGACCACTGCACTGGACAGAGAGCTCTGCCTTTAACATCATTCAAAGTGTCTGCATCTTCTAACTGAGAACAGATGAGAGGAGAGCAGAGGGGGCGGAGAGCCAAATTAAAGACAGAGGGTAAAAAAACGTGCAGAAGGAGGGACCACGAGGGGAATCAATGAATAATGGCAATAAAAAAAAGACATTGAGGAAGATCTGGAGAGAAGTAAAGCCTGATCTTAAGCCCTAAAAGCAGGTGAAATCCACAGCAGATTCACTCTCTGAAACATCACTCTCCAGTTATCTTCCCCCTACAGACAGACACTGTGCTGATAACACCTGACACGCGTGTAGCCAACCGTCATAGCCGGGCCCGTGAAACTCATCTTCACACAAACACAGCATGTGTCCGTCAGAGGCAACACCTCCAGGCTCTGCCACGTAGACCATATGTTGTCAAGGAAACAGTTTTTTTTGTCAAATCATGAAGAACAAACCAAAAAGGACACAATGACTGTATTGCTGGCAAAAAAAAAAAGAGCAAGTGTGTGCGGAAAGAATTGTGCGCCGTTCAGAACGGCATCAAAACCTTGTAAATTCCCACCCGATCTCACGAGAAAACGTAACTACGAGTTTGGGGGAAAGTTACCGGTACTTGTAATGTGCTCCAATATTGTGTAACTAATTGTGTTACTTAGTTACTTTTTATGGAAAGTAATGCATTGTTACTTTTGCGTTGCTTTTTCTCACCTGGGCTGAGCTTGATTGTTTTTTAATGATCTATTGTTGGCAAATGTAAAGGTTCTTTAACACAACGCTATCTCACGACCAATTCGTACGAGTGATTAAAAGGTGGCTAATTCGTACGACCTCACTCGTACGAATTCGTCCGATTTGTCTAAACCCACGTGATGGGTGGGTTTAGGGGCGGGGTCAGGGGTATGTCATTCGTACGAATTCATACGAATTTGGTAACTCGTAAAATATGTACGAATTAGCAAAAATCGTACGAATTTGTACGAGTGAGGTCGTATGAATTCGTACGAATTAGCCACCTCGTAAAATTCGTACAAATTGCCGTGAGATCAGGCTGTTTAACATGATAAGTGAAATAATAAGCCTCAGGATGAAGGAAGTGTAAATTCATGGCTGTACAGTAGAGGGCGCAGCTCAAACGCACCTTTCAGCTGCGCTGGCATTCTGAATCACAGAAGAAGAGGACGCAGGGGAAGAAAGTTTAACACGCTTACTTCAGCAATAAAACCCCCCAAAAATGAAACACAAATGTAATGTTTATATAAAGTCCTTTTTGCTTGTTAGTATGGTTGAATTGTATCATCGAAGGTCAGCGGCAAAGACATTGGTTAAGAAGGTAAGATTAAATACATAAGGTAAATTTGAACCAAACCATCAGTGAGGACTAAGCAGATCATATGAAAATGTACAAATAGGATTGTACAGATAAGTACAAATTGTACTAATTAACAGGAATTAGCCAAAAATTGGTCAAAACGTAAAATAGTTACGAATTGCCATCCGAGTGTTAAGATTCCAATTAAATTCAGGAAATTGAATTTAGACACATGGAGCTTCATATTTTAATTTAAAGAGGTAGAATTTAAATGGAAATAAATCCTAATCATTTCATATAAGAGCTGTTCTTTTGAATAATACACGTTAGTGAGTATTAATTCATATTAAAACTGTTATGGTACAGGCAGTTGAAAGTACAGTTGCAATAAATCTCTTTTTCCTGCCACTACTGCAAATCATTTCCCAACAAATGAACTGAAAGCGAACCAATTCTTAAATTATGAATTTTGTCAAAAAACACTGTTATGCAAAGCTTTATACAGCATTTTTTTATGTCATTCATCATTCATCAAGCCTTTCATCAAAACCTTTCTATTGTTTAGGCGTTGCTTTCTAACTTCACAGGTATCCCCTTATGCATATGAATTATTTGAGCCACTGGCTCTAGTGGGTAAGTGATTGTTGTGAATGGCTTCTTTTCTCTTCTTTAGAATGGTCCTAATCACATTATTGTGGAGGATTTGATTAAAACAAGAGGCCTTTTGATTCGCCTGCTAATGAAGGTGTATTGTTTCTATTAAATTAGCCTTGCCGCCTAGCACATAATTGCCAGAAATGGCAAGGTCACAATGCCAGTAAACTGTGATTTATTCATCTTTTTTCTTTTGCACGTCACGTCCTGAACGAAAGGCTTGTAACCAGGACTTTAAACGGCTGAAATACCTGAAATTGAAAAGCCACTAAGATTGCTTTGCACACTAACCCTAGGTTTCACAGACAAGGCTTAAGCCTAGTCCCAGACTAAAACTCATGTTTGAAATAAATATGTCACTGCCATTGTTTTGTCTCAAGATGCACACAGTAATGTTTTTTTTTTTTCTAAGGCATGTTTAAAAGCTACTTAAATGTCCTAATTGAACTAAGGCCTAATCCTGTCTTAATCTAAACGCTGTCTGTGAAAAAAGAGTTCTTGGATGTTCCAAATGCACAGCAAATCTTTAATTCTATGGCAAAGAGGGAATGTTGAATATGGTCATCTGAATTATGAATAATAAAAACGTAAAAAATAACTCCCTTAAATCTTTAAAACGAACCGTCTAATTTTAAGAACACAAGGAGAACATAATGTTCCTTTACAAGTGAGAACCTGGAATACGTGTCAGAAGATTGCGTTTATAGGACAGAATGATGGAATTACCTGGATTTGGTATCTCTGAACCCAACAAAGCACCAAAGGGTCATTTTAAAGTCACGACTTCTTGCGGTTCACCTTCCTGTGCTCACAGATCTCCAACCGCATTGAAACTCTCCACCTCAATTACACAATGACAGAAAATAATATAAACATAGGCTACTGTTATATTACTCATAATAATATTTCTATAGGATTCATAAGTTTTTTTGCTCTTCTGAAAAGTGAAACTTGCTTGAAAGTTTTATCCAGTTTTGTTATTGTTAACTAAAACTATAACAAAAAAGTCCAAACATTTTTTTTAGATTAAAAACTTAGACTTAAAAAAAAAACTTTGGTAACTAATTGAAAGTTTAAGTTTAAGTACTAAAATTACTAAACCTGAAATAGAAAAATAAAACACTATAAATACTAAAACTTATAACCAGTGTTGGGAGTAACATTACAAGTAACTTGAGTTACGTAATCAGATTACTTTTTCAAGTAACTAGTAAAGTAAAGCATAAGGTACTTTTAAAATTTACAACAAAACATCTGAGTTACTTTGTCAAATAAGTAATGCAAGTTACTTTGTTTTCACATTTATTGACTGACAGCTCTCCTGTCCTCTGTTGAGAGAAATCGAAGTTCAGAGGCGTTGCATAAATGTTCCTCAAATGGCGTTAAAAAAACCCAATGCGTCCACCCAATGCGCATGTGCAGTCCTAAGCGCGAGTCTCCGGTTTCTCCCCATGAAATCAAAATCATTTTTTGTCTTTTAGTATGAATATGTTATGGTGTGTTCACACCGAACGCGAATTTAATTACTTGCGCGAGCCAGTGGCTTTGTATTACATACAAAGTCAATGCAAAGACGCGAATAGACGCATAAAGCCTTGTTTATACTCGACGCGTCCGCAAGAGCGCGAAGGTGCGCACGGCAAAATGACGTAATTGCGGTGTGGGCGGTCGTGCGCGTTGGGTGCGCAAGACCCCATTTCGCCTGGCGGTGTGCACGGCACTTTTTGTAACATCGCGCGCGGCGCCGCATCCGAAGATGAACGACTTCGAGCCGAATCAGGCCGAACTGGTACGTCTGTACCAGCATGTTTATGATCCTTCTATACACAGAGACATTTGCATTGATGGGCGACCATAAAAGCCTCTCATTTTGTGAATAGGAACACATTTGCATTAAGCACCCAGTTTGCACTTGTCTAAAGTAACTGCTTACATTTATAAAATAAGCATACAATAGCAGAAGTAAGCCCTGCTGATGAAATTAAGGTTTAAACACTCTTCAATAAGGCTTCAGTTGTTTAACGAGTTTGTACAAGAACGTACAATACACCTACTGCATTTATTACTCTTTTAATATGAATCAGCTATTAATAAACTACTAATAGAGGGGTTTCACGACGCGTCATCAATCCGGAAGTCGGCCATTTTGGAGGCACAGAACGTGAATAATGCCACTGAACTGAATGGACTCGCAAATTTGGCTGATTATTGCTGCTGAAAAATGGTCGAGTTTTTGTCTGTACCAATCGGTCACATCGGGAAAAAACATGTCGAGTGCTATAGACTGTCAAAAGTTAAAGAGAAGAGTGCAAAAAACTGATGAAAGAAGGCGTTTGTGGTTGAGAGAGGTACAGCATCAGACACATGTAAATGAAGCGTTGACTATGGCTAAAATGTCGACGCAGTTAATGTTAACTATGGCTACATTCACACTGTCAGTCCAAATCCGATTATCTTTGTATCAAATTGGAATCTGATCTAAAATGATGTCCACACTGTGTATCGCAACTGTTCAGATCCGACGTGTGTGTCCATGCATGTTATTTGGTAATATGGCAATGACTTTGCGTTGATGGAGGGGTTGCATTTGCAATATAATGTTAGATGTTGTCTTTTTTAAATGTTACAACATGGAAATGTGTAGCCGCCGCGCTGGACTACTACGGCAGAACTGTAGGAGGCTGGTATATAACGTTAGCTACTGCTTTTTTCCCACGCTCGTCTGCGCCGGTTTCAGAAATAATATTTTTCTGCTCGTCCGGCACTTTGCAACAACACAGCATTGTTTCGGCAGTGACTTTCAGCATGTTTCCTATAAATTACGTTTGCATTTTAAGACATACCACGCGAAATCCGAGCGTTCAGACTGAGGCTGATGTCCTGATATGTGATTTGAATAGGATTTCAAACCACATTATGGATGTAACTTGAAACGAATTTCATGTGCTTTTTTGGACTGACAATCTGAACGTATCTTATTTCGGGATAATAAATAGATGGAAGAATTGCAGTAATGTTACGTGCTAGAGAAGCTAACTCGTTCGGATCTTTAGCAGCTACCACATAATGTGACCACATAAAACATATTAACTTTAGTTTGTCAAAATGTTTCGCTCTGTCCTGCTTCCCAAGTCCTTCTCTATATGATTTCGCACCTACCTCGTGTTTTTTCCGTGGTTTATTAGTGTAACAATGTGTTCAGTAGTACATGAACAGTGCAATCCATGCTGTTGTTTACATCCGAGTGCCTCCATAATGGCCGCGCATCCGGGTTACCGCCCAGAACGTGACGTTGGTGAAACCCCTCTATAAACGGCAAACTACTTCTTCGTGGTTTATAGGAGAATTACTCCGAGTCGCCCCCTATCGTTTCACAGAATAGCACAACGGCGAGCGCGTCAAGTATAAACGCCTCGTCCGTTTGGAGAGGTGCGCGCGCAGTCAGCGGAGACTCACGCTCGTGCG